CCCCTGGCCTCCCGCTTGCCTGTCTCTTTATTCTCCTAACATTTTCTCCATATCACTAGGAAAGGGACGTTTTGGTAATGATCAAATGAATTCACAGATGGGATACTCAGCCCCCTCCTCCCAGGACAGGCGAGAGGGGAGCATCTGCAGGGCTCACGCAAGCATGGAGCAGAGCACTTGGGCTGGGGGCCGAGTTTCCTGGGTGCCTCGCCAGGGAGTGGGGCTTGGAGTCCCTGATAAATGCCCCTGGCAGGGCCCGGCCTCCCTTGGAGAGCTGGAGCTTGGACGGGGCACTTTAGCTGCCCAGACCCAATAAAGTAAAATATAACCGTGTGTTTGACTCTTGTTTGCCTCTGAAGCTAATTCTTCTAAGTTTAGTTTTATTGATCTGAGAGGGGCTCGGCTCCTGGAAATCAGTGTCCCCCTCGGCTTCCCAGCTACGTTCTCGTGTCACCACTTGGGACTTACTTGCATGATCCTGGTTGCTGTTTGCCTAATTTGCATTTTATTAGCCAATGATTAAGCATGTTAGCAAGGCAAACCCTGGGTCAGCGACTCAAGGGCTCCTTGGTGGATAATTCTCGGGGTGATGCATTTCATCATCCTAAACTGGTAACTTTTGGATTTCATGGGTCAATTAAAAAAAAGAAAAAGAAAAAGAAAAAAAATCAGATAACCAATGTAGAATTGCCAGCATTTTATTGGCCAAGTAAGGGCATTAAAATAATTCCTTCCAAACTCAAACTACTCCATCTGCATCATCATTTCATAGCAGAAGGACATTTGAGCCCTCCAGCCTAGGAGGGACGCGGCTCAGTGCGGGAGACAGCGCTCTCACCAAATACATTTGCTTGAAAGGAAACGGCTCTCTGTAGCATTCTTGCCCCGTTTTTAGGGGCCTGGTGGGGACCTCACTCATGATGGCCCCCCGTGCTCCCCCCAGGTAGGGGGACCCCTGTGCTAAGCCTCAGTCTGGTGGTTTGGGCACGCAGTTCCTGGAAGGCTCTGGAAAGAAGTAGGAGTGATGGAGGCCAAGGTGAGGCTGGATCAGGGTTCCTCTTCCTGCTCCTGGTGTGGCAAAGCCTCAGGCGCACTGGCCTCTGGGACCGCCACTGCCCTGGCACTGCCCCCAGCCCTTCACACCATTGCCCGGTTGGCACCTGTGTAGATGAAGCCTGCAGGAGCTCCAGTTCTGCTGCCGGTGGGCAGGAGGAGGGGAGGGGCTGTGAGGCCGTGTTTCTCCCAGGACTTCTGCAGGAGGGAGTAAGATCAGAGAGCCGCCCACCTCTAGTTCAGAAAGTGAACTGATTGCCTGTGTGGTTTTAGCTGGCTTTCTGCCCTGGAGCTGGGAAGGTGTGGGGCTTGACTTAGCTTTCTGGGCCCCGGGCAGGCTGCAACCCCTGGAAAAAAAAAACAGATCAAGCCCGGCTCAAAGAGGAATCTTGGCACCCCTGTGCCACGCTCTCAGCCAGGGTGTGTGGGGCGCTGAAAGCTCCGTTTTCACTAAGCAGCAGCACCCCAGATGCGCCGGCTGGTGTCTCCGTCTGAACCTCACGGCACAATGGCCTTTATCAATATTGCATCGTCTCAGGAACTCTCCTGGGCTCTCGCTGCCTAGGAGGAAGGAGAAGAGGGTGCTTAGAGATTCTCTCTTAAGCAGGGGGAGGCAGGAAACTGAACCGGTCCTTCAGGACAGGGCCTTCCCGGGAAGAGACTTCAAAACACTCCCTGAAGCTGCCATGGGGCTTCGACACCTTAGAAGTTTTGTACAAACCCAGAAAAGGGATTTGGGGCTACATGTGGGAAGATTCCTTGGTCTCAAAAAGTCTGCAAAGGCTTTCTTAAAAACATTCTCCGGAGAAGTCAGCGGTGTGGGAGCTGGAACAAGCAGCTACTTGGGGATACTGAAGGCAACTGGAGCCGGTGTTTGCAGTTATTGAGACACAGGGACCTCGAGCTCAGGGCAGTGGCAGCCACATGGCTCCATTCCCTCGTTCCATGTCTCCTTTCTCCAGTCTCAGCCAAAGCCTTGATCAGCCTCTTGGGAGTGGGCGAGAGGAACTGCGCTGTGAAAACACAGGAGCGGGCTGGGCGCGGAGGCTCATGTCTATAATCCCAGCCTTTTGGGAGCCCAAAGTGGGAGGACTGCTTGAGCCCAGAAGTTCAAGACTAGCCTGGGCAACATGGTGAGACCCCCGTGTCTACTAAAAATAAAAAAAAAAATCTGGGCATGGTGGCGTGCACCTGTGGTCCCAGCTGAGGTGGAAGGATGGCTTGGACTCGGGAGTTTGAGGTTCCAGTGGGCTGTGATTGCAACACTGCACTCTAGTGTTATAATGCTGCAATCAGAGCTCACTGTGTGTCTCCAGGGTGGCAGACTGAGACCCTGAAATAAAATAAAAAAAAGAATGGGAGGGGGCAACAGAATGAGATCCCGTCTCTCCAAAAAAAAAAAAAAGAAAGAAAGAAAACAGTTTAACTGGACGTGGTGGCACTTGCCTGTGGTCCCAGCTATTCCAGTGGCTGAGGCAGGATGGCTTGAACCTAGGAAGTCGAGATTGCAGTGAGCTGTGATTGTGCCACTGCATTCCAGTCTGGGGACAGAGGCGAGACTCTATCTCTGAAACAAAAATGAAAACAAACAAACAAACAAACAAAAAACAAAAAAACTATGCCTAGGGTAGAACTTGACCCCAGGCTAGGCACAGGTCTGGGTCAGGTCCCAGAGGTTCCTGAGGCTCTGGCACCTAAGTCTGACAGTGACTAGCCAGAGAGCCTGACAGACGTCATGCTCAGGACGCCGAGGGAAGAGAGGCTGACATCCTTAGCTTCTCCCTCCCTGGCAGCCTGGAGTCAGCGTCAGGGCATCAGGCTGGGATCTGCCTGTCGGGCACAGCGTGGGAGCAGTCCTAGGGCAGAGCAGGTGCCAGCCGTCCTCCAATGCCTAAGATCCTGCCTCCCTCTCTGGGGAATTCTGTCACCTGCAGAAACCCCTGGGTTTCTCTTTAGGGAGATTCCTGCATCTGTCTCTTGGAGTGGCGTTTTCTAGAAGTTCCAGTGGTTCTGGGCTGGATGAGACTCCCCCGGGCCTCTCCCTCTACCTTCTCCTTCCCTCACAACAGCCACCTGTCCCATCGAGGCCCCGCATGGAGTGGCCTTTTGGCCTCCGGGAAGATGTGAAGCCAAGGTGCCCCGTCCTAGCGGCGAGTCACCCTGGGTGACTCCAGACCCTCACTGCTCCTGTAAGAGCATTGCACCCATGTGCACTCATCAACTGGGACCGGGTCCTGTTTTTCTCTTGGACCACTTCACTCCTCGATGTTACGGAAGCTGCGTTCCCCAGAATGACTGCCTGTGCCCTGCGTTCATCGACCAAGTAAACAGACGAAGGCTTCCTTGGAGCTGCTAATGAGGAACACACCAGGCAGGTTCCTGTCCCCAGGGAGCTTGAGAATGGGTGATCACTGGGGGGTTCCACGCCACCCCACCAAGTGGGCGCCCGCGACCCCCTCCTCAGCACCCACCGGCCGTGCAGCTTTGATGGTGCCCACAGCGGGCTTGGGGGCTGAGATGGTGGCCCGGCCGGTCGGCAGGGGCAGGGGCAGGCCGGGCTCTGCACTCGGGCTTTGCAGGGAGGAGTTGAGGCTGTGGGCCTTCCGAGAGTCTTCCTCCCTGCAGGTTGCATCCAGGGGTGTTCAAACGTTGCTATGCTTTGTACCCGGAGGTGGCTGGAGCTGCTGCCCTGTTGCTGACTGGATGTGGACTTGGGGGCACCCCTCCTTTCTCCACCCCTCCGATTTGTTTCTAAGGGGTCTGCTGGGATTCTGGGTAGAGTGTGAGACTTGGGACAAAGGGCAGGTTTGTGGGCTAACTCTGACGTGACCCCAGAACTTATGACACCCAGGGTAGAACCGAGGAGGGGCAGGGGGCCCAGGTTGGGGTGTGGCCTGCCTCTGCTGGCTGCCCTGTGCGGGAGGCGCTTCTCCCCCAGTGCCTCTATTCCAGAGCCACAAAGCTGGAGGGCGGCACCCACAGGCTCTGCCTTCACTCTCTCGGCATGGACAGGCCGGATGTAGGGGGCACTGGGTGGGGGCACTGGGCCATAAGGCCGGACAAGGCCCTGTGTTGAGCTGCATGGAGTGGACCCAGGGTGTGACACCAACCTCCTCCTACTCAGGAACGTGGTCCTCCCTCTGCCCAGCTTCCCCTCTGCTGTGGTCAGTGGCGGAGCAGGGACGTGTTGGGAAGGCCCAGGAGGAAAATTCTGAAACCTCAGGTCCCACTCCCATGGGAACGCTCTTGAGTGACGTTGGCAGAAAGTGTTTGAAACTAAATTTTCAGTGCTATTATCCCGACTCTGAATCTGCAGTGACAGGAGTGCCTGCCCAGGACGCCATTACCTGGAATTTAGGGAACTGCGCGATGTTCTCCACGGGTGGCAGTAAGCTCTGCCACCTCCCGCGTGTGGCGTCCAGGCTAGCCGGGTTGGGGCCCTTACCCAGCTGGGCTCCAGGCACTGTGGTTCCTCCTGTCACGGGAAAGCGTGTGCTGGGAGCTGGGATGAGGACAGTGGAGGCTGCCTAGGGAGAAGTCAGGTGGACACTGAGGCCCCTGCTTGTCTCTGAAGTCCTGCTGATCTCCCGGGGCACCTGGGGCTTTGTGGGTGCGTCGTGCGCTGTGATTCCTTCTGGGCTCAGCAGACGTCCTGCAGGAGCAGCCAGTCCAGGGTCTGTGTTCAGACTGTGCCCCTGGGGTTCCAACTGAGAACTCAGAGTCACGGGGATGGTCAACGTGAGAAGCGAGGGTGTGGGGGAAGGGAGCCCAGACATCATCCATCCCCCATGCGAGTCTTGCCTCCTGTGTGCCTCGTTGACTTGCTGTGTGCGGTTGAGTCTGGGGGGGAACCCTGAAGCCTGTTTTGGGTTCCCAGGTGGAGAGGGGAATTGAATCCAGCTGGACCTTGCTCTGCTGTGACAGGCTCCTGGAGCAGCCTGTGGGCCATGGTGAGAGTGTCACCCAAGACAAGGCTGCAGGTGGGCCACTGGCTATTCCCCAGCCCCTCTTGTTTCATGGAGATGCACCCCAATTCAGGAGCTCTCAGCCGCCCACCCAGAGGGAGCCATGTGCAGGTCAGGGACGCAGATCGGGGTGTGCACGGCTTTCTCTACCCTGGCATCAGTCACTCGTTATTACCTGTGGGATTTGCTGACACCGCTGGGTGTCCAGAATGCAATTCAATTCTGACCTGATCTTCCTGGAGGTAGCATCAGATCCGACGAGGCCCGGGGATCAGTCCCATAGGAGAGGCCCCACTTTGGATGTCAGTTGCAAGTCCTGGGCCATTCCCTCTTCTGTCCAACCAGATATAAATCTGGGGTTCCCATAACGTCCTGCCTGGGCTTGATAATTCGCTGAAACCACTCACAGAACCGGGAAAGTGCTTGACTCACAGTGAGCAGTCTCTTATAAAGGCAGCAACTCGGCTGATTGGAAGAGACACAGGGGGTGAGGCATGGGGGTGTCTGGGAGCACCCATGCCTCTTCCAGATGCCCCCCTCCCACACCTCCATGAGTTCACCAGAGTGGAACTCTTTGAGCCCTGCCATTTAGGGGTTTTTATGGAGGTCCCATCACGTTGGTGTGATTGATTATGTCAGTGACTATGGTGATTAACTCAATCTCCAGTCCTTCTCCCTTCCCTGGAGAAAGGGGTTGGGGGCAGAGGAGTTTGGAGAGGACTGAAAGTTCCCGCCCTGTAACCACATGGCTGGGCTTCTGGCAGCCAGCCTCCAGCCTCCAGTCCCCAGCCTACCAGCCCCCAGCCCCAGCTCCCAGCCCCAGTTGTCCCCAGCTCCAGCCCCCAGCCCAGCTCCAGCCCCCAGTCCCAGCCGCCAGCCCCATCCCCAGCCTCCAGCCCCCGCTCCAGCCCCCACCCCAGGTCCCAGGCCCCCAGTCCCCCAGTCCCAGCCGCCAGTCCCCGAGCCTCGCCCCAGTCCCCCAGCCTCCAGCCCCCAGCTCCAGCCCCAGCCCGACAGCTCCCAGCCCCCAGTCCCCAGCCCAGCCCCCCGAGTCCCAGCCTCCCGCCCCCAGCCCAGGCGCCTCCAGCCCCAGTCCCCGCCCCCAGCCCCCAGTCCCCAGCACCCAGCCAGCCTCGCCCCCAGTCCCCAGCACCCAGTCCCAGACCTACGAGCCCCAGTCGCCCGCCTCCAGCGCCCCACAGTCCCACCCCCAGCTCCAGCCCCAGTCCCCAGCTCCAGACCCCAGTCCCCAGTCCTACCAGCCCCCAGTCCCCAGCCCCAGCCTCCAGCCTCACGCCGGCCCAGTACCCGCCTCCAGACCCCCCAGCCCGCAGGTCCCAGGCCCCGCGAGTCCCCAGCTCCCAGGTCCGGCAGCCCCAGCCCCCGAGGCCCCAGTCCCCCAGCCCCCAGCCCCCGCCGCCTAGTCCACCAGCCTCCAGCCCCGTCCCCCAGCCCGCCAGCCCCAGCCCCGCCCAGTCCCCACGCTCCCAGTCCCCAGCATCCAGTAGCCCGCCGCCCCCAGTCCCACGTCCCCAGCTCCCCAGCCCCCAAGACATCCGACGTCCCCGATCCCAGCCCCGTGCAGCACCCCCTCCAGCCCCAGTCCAGACTCCCAGGCTCCAGCCCCAGTCCCCCAGCCCCCAGTCCCCGCCAGCCTCCAGCTCCCCCAGCCCCCAGCCAGCCCCCAGTCCCAGGCCCCCGTCCCCCAGCCTCCAAGCCCCCCGAGTCCCAGCTCACTAGCTGCCCGAGTCCGGCCCCAGCGCCCCAGCCCCTAGGCCCTAAGCCCCCGTCCCCGCCCCCGAGCGGGCCAGCCCCCTAGCCCCCGAGCCCCAGTCCCCATGGCACCCAGCACCGCACCAGTCCCCAGCCCCAGTCCCCAGCCCCCCGAGTCCCCCCAGCCCCAGGCCCAGCGCACTCCGAGCCTCCAGCCTCAGCCCCCAGCCGCAGCTCAAGCCCGTCCCCGCCCCCCAGCTCCCAGCCCCAGCCAGTCCCGACCAGTCCCCAGACCCCAGCCCCAGCCGCCCCAAGGCCCCAGCCTCCAGCCCCCAGCCCCTACCCCCAGCCCCCCATGCCCCACCTCCCAGCCCCAGCCCCAGTCCCCAGCCTCCAGCCCCTGCCCCCAAGGCCCAGCCCAGCCCCCAGCTCCCAGTCCCTAGCCCCAGCCTCCAGCTCAGCCCCAGCACCCAGTACCCCACCCCCAGCCACCAGCCCCCAGCCTCCAGCTCCCAGTCCACCAGCCCCAATCCCCAGCCCCAGCCCCCAGCGTCCTCAGCCCCCTCCCAGCCCCAGCCCCACCAGCCTCCGCCCCCAGCCCGCAGCTCCCAGCCCCAGCGCCCCCAGCTCCAGCCCCCAGCTGCCCACGCCGACCGCCCAGTTCCCAGGCCCCAGGCCCCCCTGCCACCCTAGCCAAGCCCCAGCCCCCAGTCCCAGGCCCCAGCCCCCAGTGCCCAGTCCCCATTCCCGATCCCAGTCCCCCAGCCTCGTCCCCAGTCCCCAGCCCCAGTCCCACAGCCCCCGGCCCCCGGCCCCCAGCTATCTAGGGAGCTACTGAATTGCCTCACTAGCATAAGCTCAGGTAAGGGGGATAAGGGCTCCTTGTGAATAACAAAAGCCACTCCTGAGCTTGGAAATGCCCATGGTTTTAGGTGCTCTGTGCCTGGAACCAGACACAAGACCAGATGCAGGTTTCATTATAGCACGTGTTAGGGTGGCCCCTCTGCTCTTCAGTGGCCAGGTCCCCCAGGCCCAAGGTCCGGCCCTGGCCCGTGAAATCCTTGTGGTGCTCACTTTGGGGCATTCATCCCTGCGTGGGCCTGTGAGCTTCCGTTCACATCCCTGTCTGGGTTTCCAGTGGGCGGACCTGGATGTGGCTCCTGGGGTCTCCCAGGCAACCCTCCTCAGGGTGGAGAGGCTCGGTGTTCTCTGTGTTGTGTTGAGTGTCTCTATGTGTTAGGCCCCGTACCAGGTGCCATTCTCCTGGTACCAGCACCTCTGCAAGGGCCTGGGGCTCCTGCCAGCACAGAGCTGAGCACTGTGCCATCTGGAAGCCGACTCATTCGCTGTTATCACCCAAAAGGGCTGGCAGGAGATCAGTTCAGTCATGACAGGTGTGCAGAGCCCTCATCATCTTTGAGGATGTCAAGGGGGCAATCCAAAGGCCAAGGCAAAGGAAGATGCCAAAATCTTCCTTCTCTCTGAGGGATGGTGCGGACCTAGATGCCCTCAGTGACTGCCCAGATGTGGCAGTGATGGTGGGTGTGACACCCTTGGTGACTGCCTAGATGTGGCAATGATGGTGAGGAGTGACACCCTCGGTGGCCACCATATGTGGCAGTGACGGTGGGTGTGACACCCTCGGTGGCCACCATATGTGGCAGTGATGGTGGGTGTGATGCCCTCGGTGGCCACCATATGTGGCAGTGACGGTGGGTGTGATGCCCTCGGTGGCCATATGTGGCAGTGACAGTGGCTGTGATGCCCTCGGTGGCCGCCATATGTGGCAGTGACGGTGGGAGTAACGCCCTTGGTGGCCACCAGATGTGGCAGTGACAGTGGGGAGTGACACCCTTGGTGGCTGCCCACAGGCTCCCCCTCTGCCCGGGTCTGGCCTCACCAGCTGCAGGAGCCAGGTGTCCTGAACACCTCTGAGCCTTGACTTCCTCCTCTGTGACCCAAAGACAGAGAGAGTGGCCACCTCGGACACTGGCGGAGAGGACTGCATATGAGCCTGCTTTGAGCCCACTGAGGAGTTCTGGCGACACTGCTTCTCATTTTCACCATCAGCACATCCGCAGGGCCTGGACGCGTCCTGGCACGTTGAAGGTGACTGTGACTGGTGATTTTAGATAAATGAATTATTGCTCTGGGCACCATCAGCCTCAGACCCCCTTTTCGGCCTGAACGCTCCTGTGGAGAAAGAAGCCTGATAGAAGCTTCCAGGCTCCCGCCGAGCCCTGTGGCATGCTCCAGAAGGTGCCCTTTGTCAGGCCTGTGGTTCCCAGAGGCAGGGGCCACCTGTCCGGGCTCAGTCTCTGTTCAGTGCATGACTCTTGGTGGAGTGGGAGGACTTACCGGCTGGCAGCTGATGGTGGCGCTGTTGGCTCATGCCAGGGCCCAGGCAAGCACAGGCTCTGCTGCCTCCCGGGCCAGCGAGGGAGGGGTGGAGGGAGGGGAGGGGGAGCAGACCTCTCTCTTCCAGATGCTCTGCTGGCTGGGCAAGTCCGCCACCGCCGAATCTCCTAAAGGTCCCTGGCCTTGGCCTTCCTCAATGACGAGAGGACTAGAGAGGCCTGGAGACCCCCAGGGGAGAGGTCTGGGGGACAGGGAGGGAGTGGGCAGGCCTGGCTGGGGACCCAGCAGCTTTGGCTTTTCTTCCAGCCTCCAGCTTCTCTTCTCACTTGGAGCCCTGCTTTTGCAGGCACTGGAGGAGAGCCCAGGACCTTTCTGTGGCTGGGGTGGGAGTCATGACGGGTAGGCAGGCCAGTGCATGGGGTTCACAGCCGTGGTCCAGCTGTTGGCCTGGCCCAGGCCTGGGTAGTCCAAGTCCGACCCTCTCCATTGCCCTACCCTGAAATGGTACCTGTAGTTGGCTGGGAAGGCTCAATTCTCCAGTTGCCTTGCCTCCTGCAGGGTAACTTTCCTTCAGTCTTCCTTGGACGAAGGGCTGAGCCAGGTGCTCTGCTGGTTGCATGCCTGCTGTCCTCCCAGACTTCTGATCTCTGCTGGGATGCCCACAGAAGGTTTTCTGTGAGTTGACAGGCATTGGCACACAGGAATGGAAGCCCTCCTCTGCCCTGGCATGGGACTGGCACCAAACTCCTCATGGAGAGTCCTCTCACAGCCCTGGATTCTGAGACTGGTGATTCACTCTTCACTAAGATCTGGGAGGCTTTGGGCCTGTGCTCTGCTGCAGGCTGGTGACCTTGGAACAGTGGCATTTTCTTTCCAGACCTGGTCTTGTCATCTGCGAAATGGGGGAATTGAGCAAGATTTGTTTCCTTTCCATCCTGGTACTGGGAGATGTTCCTTTCAGCCTTGGGTTTGGCTTTATGTTTTTCATGTTGAATTCCCTGATTTTGTCTCATGGGCTACATTGCTTACATCTCCCTAATTCCTCCTGGCCTAAGAGACCATTCCTGTCACCATCATCACCACCATCATCAACACCATCACCATCATCACCACCATCACCATCACCATCACCACCACCACCACCATCACTATCACCGTCATCACCACTATCACCATCACCATCATCACTACCACTATTACCATCACCACCACCATCATCACTGTCACCACCACCATCACCACCATCATCACCAACATAATCGTCACCATCACCTTCACCATCACCACTATTACCATCACCACCACCATCATTACTATCACCATCACCACCATCATCACTACCACCATCACCATCATCACTACCACCATTACCATCACCACCACCATCACTATCACCATCACTACCACCATCACCATCATCACTACCACCATTACCATCACCACCACCATCACTATCACCATCACTACCACCACTATCACCATCACCACTACCATCATCACCATCACCGTCACCATCACCACCACCATCATCACTACCACCATTACCATCACCACCATCACCATCATCACTGTCACCATCACCATCATCATCACCACCATTACCATCACCACCATCACCATCATCACTATCACCATCACCATCATCATCACCATCACCATCACCACCACAACCATCATAACCAACATAATCATCACTATCACCATCATCACCACTATCACCACTATCACCATCACCATCATCACCAACATAATCATCACCATCAGCACCACCACCATCACTACACCATCACCACTATCACCATCACTACCATCAACAAAATCTTTACCATCATCACCACCACCATCACCACACTTCTGATGTCAGTCACCACCATCGTCATCACCCATCACTACCAGCACCATCACCTCCCACTGCCATCACTATCCACCACTGATACCATGTTGCCACCACCACAATTCCCATTCCTCATCACCACTTCCCCAGTCATTACCACCACCACACCCTCAGCACAGTCATTCTCTGGTCACTCAACCCTACCTATTACACATCAGTCACCACCACTACCACTGCCACCTTCTGTCTGATAGGATTTCTGAGCTTCAAATGGCATAAAAGTCCTTTGTAGTGGACAAAAGGCAATGTTTTTTGGTAATGGCGGTTTTTATAATAAGCTGAGGTTCCACTTGGGAAAACAAATGCTAACCACAAAGATAAATAAGGTGTGGCTGGGCATGGTGGCTCACACCTGTAATCCCAGTACTTTGGGGGGCCGAAGTGGGCGGATCACCAGAGGTCAGGAGTTCGTGACCAGCCTGGCCAACATGGTGAAACCCCATCTCTACCAAAAATACAAAGTTAGCTGGGCGTGGTGGCGTGTGCCTGTAATCCCAGCTCCTCAGGAGGCTGAAGCAGGAGAATCGCTTGAACCTGGGAGGCGGAGGTTGCAGTGAATCAGGATCGTGCCACTGCACTCCAGCCTGGGCGACAGAGTGAGACTCCATCTCAAAACGAAACAAAACAAAAAAAACAATAAGGTGATTTCTCACAGGACAAAAGAACTTGCTAAAGGATTTCGGCAAGGAAAGGATGACCTCAGCATCCTAGGAAATGCTGACCTAGACATTTCCATTGCAATTTCTCTTACCCCAAGGACTGACTTGTGAAAACTCCTGAGATACCCCTCAGGGGACTCCTGAGAAGTGGGTTGCACCACCTTCCAACACCAAGCATGGAGGAGACCCCCCAGAGGTGTGGTCTGCCCTGTGCTGGGTGCTTCTCCTGGGCTCTCACACTTAAGCTGCAAGACCAGGATAGAATAGATGGGTATATGTGGATGACTGAGCACTCAGCCATCCCCACTCCTGGCAAAAGAAGCCAAAAAGGCGGCCCTCCTCCCCGCAGGTCAGGAAGATCATCTCTGCCTGGGAAGGACAAGGTAATTTCTTCTTCTCCCTGCTGGGGGAACATAGTACCCATCTGTAGCTTTTATGGAATGTTATTTTAACAGCTGAGCGGGCTCTGCGGTGCTGATTTTGAGCAGCTGAACGCTATAGAGCTCTTTGGTCTTGTAAATGGTGGAGTGTTTTCGCTACAGCTGCTTAAAAAGCTAGGACTACGCACCGAGGAGCGCTTGGCTGTGAACGGCGCAGCCCCACTCCCAGCAGCCTCCCAGCCCCTTTTGTTTTTTAGGGTTCCTGCCATCCCCTCGTCGCTCTGCCTGGACTTCACGGAGCTCTGGTTTCTGGCAGCCCGTTCAGAAGCAGTGCTTGCTTGCCACAGCCAGTGAGGGGCTCCTCTGTTGTTTTGCTTGTCCGGTGTCTGAAGCCCCTTCTGGTAATAACGACTCTGTTTTCTTATCTCCTTTGAGTGGGAAGAACCCCTCCTCCACTCTCAGTTCACGTGGGTCTTACGGACTGGACAGCCCCTCCCTGCCTCGTGACCGCTCCAGCACCTGTGCCTGGCCAATCAGAGGTGAATGCATGGCCTGGGTTGATCCAAGGAGTGTCTTGTCCTGGGACTTATGCTTAGAACTGTGTGGAAGAGAAAATCTCTTTGTTCTGGCCCTAAAGCTGGTAGAACACAGCCTCCGGCATCAGGGGCCGTCTGGAGGGGTGAGCCTGCCTGGGAAGAAAGCCAGCAGCGGGGAGGGCAGAGTGGAACAATGGAGAAACTGAGTCCCAGTGACATCGTTTGAGTGCCAGGGACCAGCTGTCTTAGGCCTGTCCTGGAATTGTCAGTTACACGAGCCAAAAATGTCCCCTGGCATGCTTGAGCAAGTTTGAATTGTGTTTCTAGCCAACTAAGAAGAGTCCTTAAGCCAGCCTGGATGAAATCACTGTCATTTGGAGGAAAGAGTCTTGGGGTGTTGAGAGAATTACCCTTCACGTTCCAAAGCGGCCTCCACAGCTTCTGTTCTTGCCCAGGCAGGGTTAGAGGGGGATCCCAGAGATCAGGGTGTTGGTAAGGCCTGGTTCAGGGTGGCAAGGTTCCGTGGCACCTGCAGTTGGTGCTGGAGAGGTTGAGAGGTTGGGTGGTTGGGTGGTTGGGAGGCGGGCAGGAAAAGCATGTTCTTCCCAATTTCAAGTTGGTTTGGCTTGTGAATCCCATATTCAGGAACCCTGTAAAAGGCTCAAGGGCTCAAGCTTAATTTTTTTTAAAGTTTTTTTTAGTCTGAAGATTACTTTTTTCTTTTAAACCTATGATTTACGATTGAAATACTTGTAGATAACCCAAAGAAAGGAATCCTAAGTAGGGAAATGAGAGTTAAATTACCTAAATCCATTTTTGTTGCTTCCTCTTTCACGATCTATTATCATCACCGAATGGAACCCAACCCTTCGATTTTCAAGCTGTAAGTTCCTGTAGAAAGTTCTCGGTAGATCGGTCGGGGCCAATTGCAGAGAACAGATTTCACTCTAGACGTTTTGCAGAAAGGAGTTTATGATAGGACATTAAACAGCTTGTAAAACTATTGGGAGGGTGAAACAAACTCCAGTCTGAGCTTCTAGGAATGGTCGGGAAGTTGTTTCTGTTAAACGGGGAAGCCCCCGCTACAGCTGCAGGCTCTGGAACCACAGATGCCTCTGCTCTGAGCAAAATGAATTTCCCTCTTCTCCTCCCGCTTCACTCAGGCCTTGCAGGAGTGCATTCTGTTGATGGTGAAGCCTCAAGCACATCTGGAGCCTGAGCTGCAAGGGCGCCCGGAAGATGCGGTTACCAGACTCGACAGAGAAGGATGGTGTCCCAGGAGCTAGAGTCGGTACCAGGCACACCGAGGCACAGTGCCCTTCACAGGCCACCCTTTGCCGGTCAGTTTCCCCCACACCCCCTCCTCCCCAGACTTCAACTTGTAAACAATCACATTAGCAACAAGCTTTCCTGCCTAATATAGTACAACCATCCCTCAGAAAGGGACAATTGTCCTCATCCTTCCCGGAAAGGAAGGGCCCGAAATATCATCAATCACTATGACCCAAATTCTAAAACCAACCACCTACTGCACACCCGATTTAAAGCAGTAGGGAAAGGTGGGGGCGGGAAGGAAATCCAATATAGATTCCTTATGTATTTACCTGGCAGCGGGCCATCCACTGGTGTTTGGAACTTTCTCTCTTCTACTGATTTTTCCGTGGTCTTTGTCCTCAAGTTAACACTTCAGCTGGTCCGAGTTTGTAACCTGACAGATGATTGACTCACACTTTTACCCCTGCTGGGTGTGAGCTCTTCATGATCCTGCTTGTAGGAGGTTACTGTAGACTTTCATCAACACTGACATGAAATACTACAATGAAAGGAAGCAGCCTCCAAAACTGTGTAGGCCCCAGAACACCCCTCCATGCCCATTGAGTGGCAGCAGCCCCATTTCCCCTTGATATTCAGGATCTACTACCCAGCCAGCATGGTACTCTGAACCCAGAAGTATCTGAGACAGGTCTCAATCAATTTAGAAAGTTTATTTTGCCCAGGCTAAGGATATGCCCATGACGCAGCCTCAGGAGGGCCTGACGTGTGTCCAAGGTGGTCAGGGCATGGCTTGCTTGCTTTTATACATTTTAGGGAGACATGAGACATCAATCAATACATGTAAGATGTACGTTGGTTCAGTCCAGAAAGACGAGGCAACTGGAATGGGGCGGGAGCTTCCAAGTAGGCAGATTCAAAGATTTTCTGATTGGCAATTGGTTGAGAGAGTTATTATATTATCAATAGAAATGAATGTCTTGGGTTACAGCAAGGGGTTTTGGACACCAAGGATTTTTTTTTTTTTTTTTTTTTGAGACAGTCTCGCTCAGCTGCCCAGGCTGGAGTGCAGTGGTGTGATCTTGGCTCACTGCAACGACTGTCTCCCTGGTTCAAGTGATTTTCCCATCTCAGTCTCCCGAGTAGCTGGGATTATAGGCACCCACCATCACACCTGGCTAATTTTTGTATTTTAGTGAGACAGGGTTTTACCATGTTGGTCCGGCTGGTCTTGAACTCCCGATCTCAGGTGATCCACCCATCTCAGCCTCCCAAAGTGCTAGGATTCCAGATGTGAGCCACCGCATCCAACCAACACCAAGGTTTTGGCATGCAGATGGAAGCTCCAGGTAGCAGGCTTCAGAGAGAACAGACTGTAAGTGTTTCTTATCAGACTTAAAGAGTCTGTTCTCTCAGTAATTCCAAAAGTGAGGAGGTGATAATGAGGCATGTCCAGCTCCCCTTCCCACCATGGCCTGAAACAGGTTTTTCAGGTTGACTTTGGAGTGCCCTTGGCTGACAGGAGGGGTCCATTCAGATGGTTGGGGGGCCTTATAGTTATTTTATTTTATGAAAATTTTTGAGATGGAGTTTTTCTCCTGTTGCCCAGGCTGGAGTGTAATGACATAATCTTGGCTCACCGCAACCTCTGTCTCCTGGGTTCAAGTGATTCTCCTGTCCCAGCCTCCCAAGTAGCTGGGACCACAGACACCCATCACAACACCTGGCTAATTTTTGTATTTTTAGTAGAGACAGGGTTTCACCATGTTG